TTATATATACTATCTAGTTATTATTCATAGAAAAAAAACATTAACATATGTGACTTTAAAACTATCACAATAGATGTTAGGGTGTGGGTGTGGGTGTGGGTGTGGGTGTGGGTGTGGTGTGGGTGTGGGTGTGGGTGTGTGGGTGTGGGTGTGGGTGTGAATGTGGGTGTGGGTGTGGGTGTGGGTGGGTGTGGGTGTGGGTATTTGAAGAGATTATTCACACCCACACCCACATCTCACACACCCACACCCACCCACACACCCACACCCACACCCCACACACCCACACCCACACCCACACACCCACACCCACACCCACACACCCACACCCACACCCACACCCACACCCACCCACACCCACACCCTCAGAGTACCTTTTGTCTGATCAGGTATTTCATTTATATGAAATCGTTTTCAACATGAAGAATGTTATGATAATCTTCAACCGTCATAGTAGATTCATAATCTCAAATGGATCTACGAAATACAAGAGCTAAAAATGTAAATAAGTATACAAATTAATTTTTTTTCAGACTATATTCAGTTATTATTATTTCTAAAGTTTTGTTTGTTAAACCTGTGATTTCATTTAATCAATCGAAATGAGAAGACAAATGCTTAAACACATATAGTGTTGTTTGTTTGAGTATATGATTCTACAATTGGCATAGTTTACATAGTGCTCTATCCAAAAAAAATAAAACGTGCCACCAAAAGTCATCACGACATAGACAGTGAATTTTTTTTTTTTGTCATCTCAATTTTACAGCTTTCTTCATTACAATCTCTAAATAAACAAAGTTTCATCAGTCTACATATTCAATCTGTCGATGTCAAGCGAATACAAAACGATCCGCCATCACGATACTGATGGTTATCTCATTGGACACCGTCTACCAGGGAGTAGGTGTGGGTGTGGATCTTGAACAAAAGAAGACACCCACACTCACAGCCACACCCTTACATATTGTTATTGGCGTTTAAGGATCAGCTGAAGAAGCTGATTTAAAACCAAACGATGTTATAAAACATGTTAATGCGCATGCTCGCGTTGGTCTTGTTCATTCAGAAATTGTCAAATTAATTCTTAGTGAATCAGAAAAATTATTTATATGTTCTGTACCTCGTTCAGAAACTCAAATATGTATCGGTGAAAGACGTCGTTCATCATCAAAACAAAAAATTGTTACCAACAACAAACAGAAAAAATCTTTCTACACCACACAATGAGAATTATTATCATCAACCATATTCTGTAAAACATTGAATAAATTCATTAGGAAATAATACATTAAATAATTCAAACAAAAAAACCAGGGTGTGGGTGTGGTTGTGAGAACGAATGTCCTACACTCACGAGGGAACATCCCCAAGTGTGAGTCTCAGATTTGAATGGGATATATACCAGTTTGTAGAGCTTGGCGAGCTGATTCTTGTAGTATGTTTCGTTTTTGCCCATAGACCTCAAATGAGAAAAATCAATCGATTTTAATAGTGAATTTCTTGCCTTAGATAAGTTGTAAGATATTTGTTAGGAAATCAAAAATCAAGATTATTTAAAGCTAAATCGTCATATTAACATACACAACGACATAGTCAATATATTTGAGTGCACTTCAATTAAATGTGCTTCATGACTTGTTACTATTAGTACATACTGATGTAATACTGTATTAAACAAATAAGATAGTTGTTAGCGTCAACAGATATTACATTGTTGCTGCTAACTTTTTTCGTTCTTACGTTCTCCTTTACGTGACCTATGTGGGGTATCTTAGTTTTCTATTGATTCCTTCCGGCCTACTACCATTTAGTGGGCAAGAGATTTGGATGAAAGAGAAAACTAACAATAGCGATAGTTCTTTTCATTGTATTGTTATGCACTCGTGATACACATCCCTTATTTTCTCGTTCTTTCTAGTCTATTCTAATTGGTTCTCTCTCTTTCTGTTCTGTGCTTTTCAGCTATCAAAAAATTCTGTGACTTTCTAACATTTTCGAGTGAATTCCTTTGCCTTCTTTCAAATCTATATATGTATACCTGTCATTTGGAAAATAGTCTATAATATATCTTCTGATTAATATCCTCTCAAGTTTCACTACGTCAAAACTTATTTCCCTATGACGAACGTCGTTAACATATGTAAAATTTTATATGAAAAAGCATTAGAAAGGTCAAATGTTCATTCAATAAGTACCACAGAAGAAGAGACATCGATCGCAATCAATCTACTCGATCTATTAGAGGATCTTTCCAACAGTGACAGCTTTACTATAGAGACAGAAGATTCTCTCGAAGTTTCTGATGTCGATCCTTTTGATCCGGACTATCCTGTTGAAATCGAAGATGATGAAGAGCAACAAGTAGTCGAAAATCGTCAGTTCAGTTTAGAATACATGCAAAGGGTTGTCGACTTTGCCCGTCCAGGTGTTGCTTTTACAACCATACAGCATGCTTTTCGACGAGTTACACATCCTATGCAATTAAAGCGATTTCGAGAATATGTTGCAAATAACGGAAATTGTCAGTAAAAATTGGAGCGTGTAGAGCATTTTGTACTTGATAGATTTCGCTCTGCTCGTAACAACAATTTACCTGTCCACGATCTTGATATGAAGCGATGGGCTCTGTCCCAAGCAAAAATAGAAAATATAGATGGTTTTAAAGCAAGTGATCATTGGCTTCTCAACTTCAAAAAACGCAACGGCATATCTTCCAGAAAAGTGACAAAATTCGTTTCTCATCGGGAAGTTGTTGATAAATCTATAATTAAACACATTGCTGATGAGTTTGTCGCTGAAGCAGCCAAACATATACCAAAATATAAGCTTGATTTTGTGCTAAATGCAGATCAATCCAGTTTTAATTATGAAATAGCTTCGAACCGTACACTATCTTATGCAGAAGAGAAGGCGACTTATCTATCAGTAAAATCTTTGAATGCTATAAGCCATTTCTATACAGTGATGCCGATCATTAGTGCTGCTGGTCAATTGCTCAGTCCTGTTTTTATTTGCCTTCAGGAACCCACAGGTCGATTCCCAATTACAAAAGTGGTCTTTCCAGCACCAAATATAGTAACTAGTTGCAGTACGTCTGGGAAATTAAATAAATCCTTAATAGAATACTGGATTAGAGAAGTTCTCGATAAAGTAGTCAGCAATCGATTCCTTCTTGTGGTCGATCAATGGTCACCGCAGACTGACATTACTGCATACGAGAATAATCTGACAAAAGGACAGTCGTGTAAATTATTAGTGATACCTAGAAGAGCAACATCAACTAAACAACCGTGTGACACTTATTTTTTCCGACAATGGAAAGTGTTAACAAAGAGAATATATCATCGTATATCTCTAGACAAATTGGATGTTGACTTAAGAAGTCGTGACGCTATTATCAAACTACAAAGTCTGGTTCATAATCAACTGAGTTCTTCGTTATTTAAATCAATGGTTTCATATGCGCGGTCAACTTGTGGCTACATTCCTAAACAACACTCGAATTTTTCGAGCGTTATAGAAGTTTGTTTTTCTTTTGATGCGGACAGTTGCTCAAATAATAATTGTGAAGAGAGTGCATTTATTTGTTGTAGTCATTGTCAACGAATATTGTGTTTCGAACATTTTTTCACCGGGTATCATTTTCATTGATTGTGTTCCTAATATATTTTTCGAATAAAACGAGTGAAACGATAAAATGATAGTCTATGCAACTCGAAACACCAAATTCATAAAGCTTGAACTTCGGAATGTAGAAAAAAGCTTTCTTATACAACTTCGATTGGTCAAGTCCTATCATGTAAATAATATTGCCGTGCACAAAAATAACCTTGAGAATATAAAGAGCAGTGTTGCTTTAAATAGTTTTGAATGTGATATGTGAGAATCAGTGGCTCAAAGCGCTCCAAACAGTTTTTAAAATTACTTTTCTGTGAGAATATTATGCTTAAAAGTCCGATATTTCCAGTGTCATCCTGTACAAATAAAGCTTACCAATTTTCTCATTTGAGGTCTATGGGCGAAAACGAAACATACTACAAGAATCAGCTCGTCAAGCTCTACAAACTGGTATATATCCCATTCAAATCTGAGACTCACACTTGGGGATGTTCCCTCGTGAGCAGAGGAGCATTTTCTGCATTGGCGCAAGCGTCCCCATAAATTTTTCAATTTTTTTCGAAAAAAATTGAATGTAAACGAAAGATTATTTTAGAATATCGAATTTTCCATCATGACAACCGACAAGGAGAACGGTCGCAGTTTGAACAACTAGTTCAAAGAATCGCTCTGCAAAGCATGTTAGTTCGGACATGTCAATTAAAAGGCGGCATGTCGGTTTAAATGACTGCTTTACAGATTAAACATTTTAATGGGGAAACAAGCAAAATGATTGTACGTCGACCTAGTGCTGATAGTCCCAAGCGCCAGCACGTAGCACAAGATGAATTTAAGCTCTTATAAATGACACAGTCGTTGAGATTAACTACGCAGACGCCTTATCATCTTGATGAATGGGAATTGCTTTTCTCCAGGCCTTATTTAGTTACCGAATATATCGAGGACAAGATAGAATTTGCACCTTCCGATCCACATGATTTTATCCATCAGTTCGCTACACAGCTTGCCCAAATTCATCGTCAATCGTGTTCAATGCTCAATACATATTTTCTCTGTGAACATGACTACAGATTTGGCAACACTTTCTATGGCAAACAATAGACAACAAATGCTAATATACGCTTAGACGAAGAACGTATATGCACTACGTTGGACTCAGTGTGGCCATTGCCTCAACGCAATAGGGTGTGGGTGTTCGTTTCGGTGTGTTCATGTGTGACGCTTTAGTTCACTGACACCCACATCCACACACCCACAGCCATACCACACCCGCACACCCCACCACACCCCACACCCACATCCACCCATATCCACAGCCATACCACA